CGTTAAACAGTATTTCTTAGAATAGTTTTCTGCAATGGTACATGACCCCCATGGCAGTGTTTGGCTGTCTGGGGTTCGGACTGTATTTTACAATTTTTGAAATTAACCATAAGTTTGATGAACATCCTGCATATTAAACCCAAGCACATTCGCTCATCACTAGTCCCTACCACAAAAGCGATCTAGAGGGCTATGTGGACAGGCTGGATCAATCTTATGAGCAAACAATTACTAAAAACGAACATTATTTAAAAATGATTGTCTTTTGGGTTAATACGTTTTAAAATTGTTCTGAAATACACATATTTATATACAGAATTACAAGGAGGAGCGACGAAATCCAAATATATAAAAAAAAATACAAATATGTTTCACACTTAAATGGTAAAGGCTGTAGGCTGAAAAAGAGAAAATCTGTATCCACTACCTGCTATTGTATTGTATCTGATAGTATGAAGTCACTGTTTAGCCAACAATCCAGGCTCACTCATTTTTTAAATCAACTTTTGTTGAACAGTGTGATGCTTGCAGGGCCACCCATGGCTAGAATTGCGGCTGATTTAGCAGAAATCTGCATATATTTGAGCAGCCTATGGGGAGATTTAGGCTATAGATATAAGATAAAAGTTTAGAAGTGTTACTGGGTTACTTGACTCAGAGATAAGATTTCCGTGCACAATCCGCACCTCAAATGAGAGTTCTTTTGAAATGTCCATCTACCAGAGAAGCAGTGTAATACACCCATTGATATAACAAAACTATTTTTCCTGACACACTTGAATATTAATGGTTATTGTAAATGGTTAAGATATAAACTATAGTAATCAGAGCCTAAACATGTTTTTTGGCTAATTGACTAGGAGATAACAAGTCCAGGTAAATTTGCGGCCTCAGGATGAGAGTTCCTTTGAAATGTCCATTTGAGTGAAACTGTACTCCTGTTGTGATCTTAATACTGCCACATGATACTATTAGTGCTGTGGATATGTATGCAGGGCTTCACATCCCTTCTACATGTAGGGAGTAGTTCCACTTAGACACTATGAAGAAACAGGCCACCAGCACTCAAATGATTTAAATAGATATGTCCTTTTTAATGGACAATTATGTCACAATAATCAACAAAGCCGACGTTTCGGGGCCACGCAGGGTCCCTTCTTCAAGGCAGAAAGGTCACATCTTTCTGCCTTGAAGAAGGGACCCTGCGTGGCCCCGAAACGCCGGCTTTGTTGATTATTGTGACATAATTGTCCATTAAAAAGGACATATCTATTTTAATCATTTGAGTGCTGGGGACCTGTTTCTTCATTTTGTACTTTGCACGGTGCCATCCGTGGTAGTTACTACAAGCACCATCGTTTTTACTGGCCGGGATTGCTGTAAGGTGTGCGGAGAGCACCTTCATCAACTGAAACCACTTAGACACTAGGCTTTCTAGGTAACCTCTCTCAATAAGCCATGTGTGGTTGTCGATGGGGATGCACCAAAATTTTGGCAGCCAAAACATATTGGCTGGAAATTGCACTTTTGCCATCTTTCGGCCGAATTTGTGGTGCATGCCTAGTTTCTCTTCTCCCCTCTGACACAGCACAGCATCCAGCAGGGAGGAGAGAATCTGTCAGAGGAGGCCTAGCGGTGAGGGAAGGAAAGCGCTGAGCGGCCGGCGTGTCACAAGAGGCCAGGCTCTCCTCCCGCACCGTCACGCTTGGCTGCGACAGATCAGGAGAGTGGTGTGGGGGCGGATACAGCTGTCAGATCACAGATCGCTGACTGTTTGTAAAATAATTGAGGACAGAGTATGTTGACTGTATCCCCAATTAGGAATGAATGGGAAGTGCTCTTCCTGTTCATTCATAATTGTGGAGATAATGAACAGGAATCCTCTATACTAACAGGGGCTGCAGAAAAAGAGATTGAGGACTCTGTGTCCTCAATTTCTTTTTCTATTTTAACCCCTTCATGACCAGCGACGTACAGTGTAAAAAACGGATGGCAAACTCACATTGGCGGGTTGCCGTGAATAGACAGCTTTTTTTTTCTGCTTGCGCGTGCCCCCTAGCGTGTGCGCACGGGCAGAATAAAACTGGCCATTGTAAACAACTGTTACCGGCTGTTTCACATACAAGCGATCGGCTGCTCTATAGCTGTCCGATCGCTTGTATGTGCTGCCTGCGTGCACCCCCCTCCTCTAGTGCCGCGGTCTCGCTGCCCCGCTGCCACCACGCCCCCCCCCCTCTGCGCCCTCCTCTTTAATCTTGGGATCCGCTGCCCCATCTGCGGCCTGGGACTGGCTTGGGAGGGTGTCAGGAGGTAGATGGCAGGGAGATCAGCATTTTCCTCCTTGCTGACCTCCCTCCGACATCTGAATGCCGAAGTAATGTGTAATACATTACTTCCGCAATTCACCTGTCAGTCCTCTGGCTGCTATAGCCACAGAGAAGAAGCTGATGAAGCAGCTTCTCTGCTTCATCAGCTTCTCCCAGGTGACATTAGGGGTCTTAGAGATCCCTAATGTCTCCATAAAGAGGACCTGTCAGTGTGCCTGTGCCATCACATAGGATTGTTAGCCCCCTATGTGATAGCAATAACATTAAGTGTAAAAAGAATTAGAAAAAGTAAAAAAATTATAAAAGTCACATGAAAAAAGTAAAAAAACAAAAACAAAATTTTAAGCCCCCCACCCCCACGTTTACGCACATATAAACGTAAATACGCTTCAAAAACAAAAATTGCGCTACACATGTTATATATCCCTGCGAATGTCGAAGTGAGAGCAATAATTTTAGGGCCATCAATCACTGATAACACTAAACAGATAAGCGGTAAAAGCCTATGGCCAATTTTGGGACTTGATATGTTTGGTGTCTTTTTACCCGATGACGTGACCCCGTCTTTTATAGTTTACCAAAAAATTGGGTAATAATAAATGTTTTATAATTTAATATAGGGGAAACAGTTTTTTTCAAATTTTCGGTAATTTTTCCTTACCATAGTAAAAAAATTAAAACCCCAGTGGTGGTTAAATATGACCAAAAGAAAGCTGTATCTGTCCCCCAAAAATGGTATAAAATAATTTCAGTACAGCGTTGCATGACAGAATAAATGGCAGTCAAAGTACTGCAGCGCTGAATATTGAAAAATGGCCTGGACAGGAAGGGGGTTTAAGACAGCGGACTTCAAGTGGTTAAACAGACTTGAAGACAGGCAAAAGCCACCGGGACTCTGTTTAAACTTGTAAAGACGGCTTTACAGTAGAAACGATTCTGGCGGCTCAGCTGCCGCCAGATAGCTTCTACGGCCAGTGAACGGGTCAACCCCCCGCCCGACACCCCCGCCGTGTTTCCCGTGCCCCTCCTACAGGCCCAGGACCAGCTTCTTTGGTGTCGGCAGGAAGCTGGGGAGGAGATGGACGAACCTCAGTTTGTCGATCCCCTCCCCGTTCTATGGGACTGGGAGCGATGCAGATTGCATCACTTCCGGTCCCATTGCTGTCAGTGCTGGGCTCCTGAAGCCCAGCTATAAGCTATTAAAGTGCGATCTGCACTTCAATAGCTTATTGAGAGTGTAAAGGTGACACTGGGGTCTTTTGGACCCCCAGCATCACCTTAAAGACTACATGTCGCCACCATCTGCTATCACATGGGGGGCTTGTAAGGCCCCCTATGTGATAGCAATTAAAGTAATGTAAAAAACAAAACAGTTTTTAAAATTAATATAAAATAAATAAATGTAAAAATAATAAAAAAAACATTTTTAAAGGCCCCCGCGAGCATGCACATCTTCACTTAAACATGCGTTGGGTGTGCCTACGTATGAAAACAAAGAATTCGCTACACATGTCGGGTATCGCCGCGCATGCTAGAGTGAGAGCAATAATTCTGGGGACAGTATTTTTAAGTATCTTGTCGCCGTTTCACGGACGCACGCAATTTTTAACCTGGGCATGTTGGATATCTATTTACTCGCTGTAACCTCATCTTTTATATTTTATTAAACAAATTGATATTTTGTTGTGTTTTGGGGCATTTAGGTGCATTTTTCTCTAAATTGTGGGTTTTGACAAGGAGTTGCGCTAATATCGTGCAACATTAAAAATTTGCAACTGCCACCATTTTATTCTATAGGGTCTTGGCTTTCAGAAAATATATAATGTTTGGGCGTTTTAGGTAATTTTCAGGCCTAAAATGTGGAATATAACATGGGTGCGAAAAATGAAGAAAAAAAAAGGCCTCTGTCATGAAGGGGTTAAAAGGGAAATATCAGGGGTCTGTTCAGACCCCTAATATTTCCCCAGAGCACCCAGCAGTAAAGTTAAAAAATAAAAATATTTATAAAAATGTTTTATATATGTACATAAAATATATATACTAGACACTACATGCAATTTATGATTAGCAGTTTTCATTGTAATAATGGAAGGTTTGCTACATTTTAAATACCACACTTCTAATTAAGTCAGGAGATGTAAGATTCCCTTATGTCATTGGTCTTATAGCATTTTTACAGTAGAATGCCTACTTTTTGTTTAATTAGGTCACAGAATACCAATACAGGTATGTGGAAGTTTTACCTCTTTCAATTGGTTACAGATACAGCCCTGACGTTTGTTGATTCCTCTCTAATGGTGTCAATATTATAAGTAAACATTTTTAAAGGGTATCAGAAGGCAGAGAAATGTCACCCTTTATTGTTCCAGAAATACATTCATGATGGCAAAGACATTGAAGATGATCACTGGAAGACATTTAGATGACGTATATACAAAATCATTAACTAGAGGTCATCCTTTATTGGTAATGCCCCACCATCATACAACATCATTTCTTCTGTAACTGAAATTAACTCAGTCTAATTAATCAATTTTGACTTGGCAAATATCTTCCCTGAACCATACTGTTTTTGTTTTACCCCTTCACAGTTTTAAATCCTTACCTGAATAAAATGTTGGTGCATCAGTCATTCCATTTCAGTATATCAAAGTCTTGTTTTGCTCTACAGTCAAGATGAGCACTAATAGTTTCCATGGTAAATTTTAGTTTACACATCCTGAATTATTTTTATTCCATTGCATAGGCATCTTAACAAATTGGCATTGTTCACAGAAAACATGCCTCCTTTAGTGGTTTTCAGCCTTCCACACATATTTGCCTAAATGATTCAGTGTTTGACTTGTATGCACTTTTGCTACATTTCAGCAATAACTCTTCCTGCACAGTCACTACCTTACAATAAATAATCTATCCACTTCCTGATGGATATTTTGTTGGCTTCATATTGGCTTCTCGTAATATTATTTTGTAGACCTTTAATGATATGATTCACCCTTCCCCAAGTTAATAAGAAAAAAAATATTCAGTCCTTTGCTGTTTTTGTACAGTCATTGGCTTATCCTTCATAGTCACTGTTTCCACCCCTGAGTATTTTGGCACCACCATCACGGGGCAAAGTTCCAGTAAATGCTTCTTCTTGAGTCCTTTTTAGACAGAGCACCTCTGCCTGAAGCTTTGCTCTTCCCTCTTGTTCCTATAGAAGGAAAAAAAAAATCAAATCCCAAGTTAATATTCTAACTGTAACATTTTTGCTGTACTTTGCTTATTTAAAATGTTTACACTTTTTCTTTTATTCATTTTCATATTTCTTCATTTGTGTGTTTTTTTGTTTAGGTCAGTCCAGCTTTTAAAATGTTGCTATGACTAACCTGTGCTCACATGCATCCATTATGTTTACAGTAATGGTGGCAGCAGAGCATACAAACATGCTTGACATTGCAAGTAATGCAAGTCATTGCAGCATCTGGAGGGAAGCAGTAATGTATGTCAGGGCAAAATAATACAAAACAAAAACATATGCAGTGCATCTCTGCCATACATGCATATTTCACCATGTTTTGTCCCAAAAAATGTTGCACGTACAGTACATTCTAACTTCCTGTTTGAGCTGACAACACAGTGTCTTTGCTGCACTAAAATCCTAAGATGCATTGTTAACCCTGCCCAGCAAGGCACTTTGATTACTGTAATACATCAATATGAAAGTGGCCTTATAAATTGAATTTGGAGTTCCAGTTTAACAGCACAGCATACATAATTGTAAATTTGCCGAAGTAATTGCAGCACACATCTGATTTCACTTATAATGAAACTGTCACAAGCGAAAGTGTGATGTGAACGAGCCCCTAAAAGGTGCTTAGTACACTAAACATTACACTGCTGTTCTGTTTCCATGTAATTCGTTTTTAAAACGGAATTTGCCAACAACCTAAAAATCTGTTGGAATCTGCCATTTTCTGACAATCTGCATACTATTGCCAAATCAATCACCTGAAGAGGTAAATCATATCTTTTGGATATGGGATTAGCATGAAGCTTGTGATATAGGGTGTACAGTGAAGTCACGTTGCTGCCCACTGAACGGATAATTGTAGCAATCCTGCCTTTTGTAGTTTTCACGTTACAAAATTTAGTGTATTGAATGCTGGACTTTAGTCAGTCTGGGCATTTATCTTTCTGTGTTCTGCAGGTTTTTCCGTAAGCCTGGCAGGCTGATTGATTCTACATGTTGTTGGGATGGGGCTCCAGCATACAGTGTAGGAGGGCTAACCACAGCTTATGAATATGTATCTGACTCAACCAATCCCTGAGAGGCTGACTCAGAGATATGGCTAGGGAGATGTTAAATATTTTGGAGCACCTTTCCAGAGAGCTCTCTTCTGTGGTTTCTCCCTGGGAGGATGTAACAGGCTTACCTGACCCTCGGTTCCAGCGCGGCTCGCAGCGCCGTTGGAGATTCCTGACATCAGCCGCGACGTCACAAGACTCCTCCCCCTCTCCCTAGTTAAACCCGTCGGTTACACTTGCCTGGCGTTCAAGTGTGAAGACGCCAGGCAAGTTCCCGTCGGTCTGCCACGAACCCCACTGCTATTTGGGCCGGTCAGAGCCCCACCAACACTGCCATTTCAGCCCTGCATACTCGGGCTTCCTGCACTCCTGGATAAAGTCTGCTTCCTCCTCAGCTCTCTGCACCCAGCACTAGGATCAGATTACCAGAGCCTGGACTGCCATTCCCCTAAAGTTCCAACAGAGGGCACCAACACCACTCCTGCAACCCTCTCCACAGAACAGCAAGTACTTTACTTATAGACTGTTACTTCACATATACCTGCATACTAACAGGACTGTGGATAGCTATTATTCTGATTCACTTTGGATAGCTATTATTCTCATCTACACATCAGATTGTTGCTCAATTGTTGCCCCAACACATCAAGCACTGTTTCCATCAATAAACCCTCAATCGAACTCAGGATTAATTGCTAGCTGATTTGTTGTTACTCAAGACTGCATTCATATAGTAGCGTAGTGCTACAACCCCTCACTGCTACCTCTGCAGCTGTGTTCCAAAACCAGATAAACTGGTGGGGCCTGAGCGTTATAGGTTGCTTGAACCCTTTCCTAAAGGGAAAAGATTATGGATCCAGCAGAGATGGTCACGCACATGGGTGCATTCAACCAGAGATTGGACGCACTCTCCCAATTGCTAACAGATGTACAGACAGAGAATAGAGAGCTCAGATCCTATATTACAGAGCGTTATAGAGGAGGACTATATGAGAATGTGCTGACAGGGCATATGCCATATGCTGGACACTCTGATGCCTAAGCTACTGCTGGAGTGGATACCAAATGGAAGCTGAGCTGGAGAAAGGATCTTCTTGCTGAGGAGTCTTACCAAGGAGCTGGGCAGTAGACATGTGCGCCGTCAAAAAATTTGTTTTGTTTCGTTTGCATTCGGATTTTTCGTTTTTTCAGGATTCTGACCTGAATTCGGACTCGAATCCTGATTCGGACAAAATACGAATTTTCCTTAGTGGTAGTATGTATAAATATTTGTTATTTTCATTGCAGCAAAGTGGCATTAGACAAAAGTCCGCAGAAGAGAGAACAAAAAAAGCGTGAGGGACACCCCAAGTTAAAAATAAAAAAATGCCTGGGGTTCCCCCAAAAGTCATACCAGGCCCTTAAGGTCTGGTAGGAATTTTAAGGGGGAACCCCATTCCCAACAAATGGCGGGAAAAGAGAAGACCCTTGTTCCGAGGACAGGCCTGGCAGGGGGCACGATCGGGCGCCCCCCCCCCCTCCCTGCACCATACCAGGCCCCGTGCCCTCGACAATGGGAGGGTCTCCCAATGCCGATGAGGAAAAGGGCCTCTTCCCCACAACAATGACTCAGTGGACCCGAATGCTATTGTGTTCTATGACAGCTCGGAATGTGAAATGGGCGGAACGAGCATGTGATGTCACAGCTCAATCCGCCCATTTGTTTACATGCTGGCCGGAGCTGTCATTTTGCGGTGAGTCATTGTCGGGTTCGGATGGGTCGGCATGCGGCGTTCTTTGTGATGGATCCATTTTTTTTAAAATAATGGAATTGTCAAAAAACTGACTCTGTTTTTTTTACATTTATTAAAGGACTTTTTAAAAATGTGTGGTGTGTTTATTTACGTTCACTTTTAACCCTTTAGTGAACGAGTAGGGGTACAAGTACCCCTTACTCATTCAAAAGGAGGGGGCAGCACCTGGGTGCCCCCTTAATTAAAGGGGTACCCCGATTAAAATAAGCCACCCCTGCCCACAGACCCCCACAACCACCGGGTCAGATTTGTGGGGAAGAGGCCCTTGTCCCCATCGGCATAGGGACACCCTCCTAATGCCCAGGGCACGCGGCCTGGTATGGAGCAGGGCCTGTGCTCGGATCAAGGGTCTGGTAGGAATTTTAGGGGGGACCCACGTTTTTACTTCATTTCTCGGTTGTGGGGTTCCCCCTTAAAATTCCTACCAGGGGTCGTGTCCTGCTCATGGCGGAGTAAGCAGCAACCTCAGTGAGCTCCGTGTGTTTTACTACTTATACGCTACTTATACCGACTTATACCCCACCGGTTTGGACCCCAAACAATGTCCAAACGCAGCAAAGAGGACAAGCCAGCTTCCCAACGGAATACCCCCTCGATGCAAGAATTTTTCACCTCCACGCGCAGCAGGCCTCGTGGCCGAGACCACCGGCGTCAGAACGTAAGAGTTCGAGGCCTACCGGAGGCAACAAACCCAGCGGATCTCCGCTCCACGGTCCAAGCGATATTTGGCACACTGCTCCCCAATGCAACCCCTGATTCCATCCTGCTGGACAGAGTGCACCGCCCCCTAGGCCCGCCGTCCACAGACGCATCCCGCCCGAGGGATGTTGTATGCCGGCTTCAAGTCTATTCCATGAAGGAAGATATCCTGCGACAGGCATGGCTGAAAAAACCGGTCGAGTTCGATGGAGCGGCCCTACAAATCCTACCAGACCTCTCCCGCAATACCCTACGACGCAGGGCCCTGCTACGCCCTCTCCTCTCGCTGATCCTCCAGGCCGGAGCCTCCTACAGATGGGAATATCCGATCCACTTACATGTCCGCAAGGGTGGAGACTCGTTCACGGTCCGTTCTCTGGCAGATGTCCCCAGCCTATGTGAGTTACTACAGCTACCCCCACTTCAAATACCGGACTGGCTTACTCACCTCCCCGACGAGTCTCCGATGTCCCCGAAACCCCGCCGGGCCCGGCGGCCTACCCGACCATCGCCCAATACACCTATTGACCGACGAGGGGCCGATCCTCCCAGCTCTGCAGAACTGTGAACCAGATCGCCGGCCGTGACCCCTTCTCCCCCCCGCCAGGCCCATTCACCTGCGAAGATGTTCGTCCAGGCCGTCGGGAGGCTCGAGACGTTGGGCTGAGGCCTACATTTCCTGTTGGACCGTTTCCACCTCCTCCTGATTGCCAAGCCGCATCCATAGGCCCCCTGAGGGCCCTTCCTAGTATCCTTCCAGAAACGACCCTGACGGACTTGCCCCGGCTCCTGGAGGGCCCCGCTGGCTTGCTCACCCCATAGCGGGGCAGCGGAGGACCGGATCCGGTCCCGTTTTTGTTATCGAGTTGGTCCGGGTTCGTATGCCTCCACGAGAGACTGGGGTTCTGGCGTTCCGAGGGGTCCATCACCCGGCTGCTCTACCCCTATGTTTATGTTTGCACCAGTAGCAACAGTTGATTTCCCACTCAGTTTTCATTGTGTCCGGTATCCATCCTCAGGTATCATGGAGATTGGGTTGGTGCCTTTCCCTCCACCGTCACCGGAGGCCTTACACTGCAGGGCGGGTGTACGGGAAAGGGACTGGTCAGAGGGGGACCAGGGGTGCCCCCCCCTTCCCGGGCTTCGGGTATTCCACCCTGCTGGTATCCGGGGAACCCAGGGGAATCCCGGGAGGGGCTTTGAACACCGACTACCCCCATAACTGGCAGCCCGCGGCCCCTCTTCCTGCCCACCGTTATTGACAGGCCCTGCTCAGTTGGGATATGTCTCCCATGTAAGCTGTCCCTCTTCGGTTTTACTACAACCTCAAATGTTAACCCTTGGAGCTCTGATCCGCCTGTTCAGACTCGTTTCCCCCACTAGTTAGTCCCTGCAGCGCCGAAAGTGCCACAGG